CAAACCAAATGTTTATACTTCAAGATTCCCCTCAAGTTTTGAGGGGAATCTTGGGCATCCTGGCCAGAAAACCGTTTACAAGTGAAAGTGTTGGGGCTTTGACATAGGATCGCGAATGGGAGAGAGAGAAGAGGGGAAAAGTGGGCACCCTGGCTAAAAAACCGTTTAAAAAAAAGTTTTAGGGCTTCAATATGGATTGTCCTGACTGAGAGAGGGAGAGGAAGAGAGAAAGATTGGGCACCGTGCAAAGCAAAATCTCATACTTCGGAAAGTTTTGGGAGAGGGGGGGAACTTACTGTCTAGCGTATACCTATCATATCCTGCTCCTGATTGCGGCATTCCTAATACTAGATGATGCATCTCACCGAGCTGAATCGAACGGTGTCCTCGGATTCAGAATTCGTCCATTCTAAAGCGAGATATAGCGATGCGACGCGGATTCCGAAGGACTCTAATGATGTGCAACGCACTCCGTTGCTCTCCGGCAGACTCTAGTGGAGTGTGGCGCACTCTACCGCACCCCGGCGGAGTGCGCCACAGTCCGGCGACTTTTTTGACAAATTATGAGCGGTATTGTGTCCTGTTTGAGGCATCTGGCAAATAGCCAGATCGCATGACGACTGAAATCGCGTGAAGTGTGCTCGGGGCAGAATTTGGTGCTCTGCCAAATCTCACTTTCCTCGCTCTTTATTCAACTACTCCGAATTACCCATGTGAGCCAGACTCTTTCGTGAGTTTCCTGCCAAAGTGCACAAAGTTTCTTTTTTTTTAAATGGGAGCCCTAAGTTTCACGGTTGTCCAATAATTGCTCCTACCCAAATCTGCGTAGGCAATGCATGTGGAAGCACCAAAATCCAATCTAATTCCCCAAAGCCAGGATGCCCACCTTTAGAAATTCTCTCCTCGGTGGTCTTCATCATCCTCGCCCCGGGTTTCCGGGTGACCAAAATTCTCTTCTCCGAAACTCTCCTAATAGATTTAGTTTACACGATGCCCACTCTTTCTCTCTCCCTTCTTGTTCTCCCTTCAGGACCTATGATAAAGCCCCAGAATCTTTCTCTTAAACGGTTTTCTAGCCAGAGTGCTTCTCCGAATCCGAAGCATGAGCTAATGATTTGCACAGTGCCCACTCTTTCTTCCTCCCTCTCTCACATCGTAATCCCATGCGAAAGCCTCAAAATTTTCACCCACAAACGGTTTTCTGGCCAGGATGCTCAGGATTCCCTCCAACATATTCCAAGTATGAGCTTATGGTTTGCACGGTGCCCACTCTTTCTCCTTTCCTCTCTCCGATTCGTGATCACAGTAAAAGCCCCAAAATTTTCACCCGCAAACAGTTTTCTGTCCAGGGTGCCCAAGGTTCGCTTCCAAAACATGAAGTCTGAGCTTTCGGTTCGCACAGTGCCCACTCTTTCTCTTCCCTTCTTTCTTTCTTTCTTTTTTCTTTCTTTCTCTCTCTTTCCTTCAAGATCCATGAAAGGCTCCAAAACCCTCTCTTAAACGGCTTTCTGGTCACGGTGCCCACAAATCTCCCCTCTCTCAAAACTTTCCGAAGTATGAGATTTTGCTTTGCACGGTGCCCACTCTTTCTCTCTTCCTCTTTCTATACTTGAGAATCCATACTAAATCCCTAACACTTTTTCTCTAAACGGTTTTCTGGCCAGGGTGCCTACGTTTCCCTTCGGAACTTTCCAAAGTATGAGCTTTCGGTTTGCACAGTGCTCATTTTTTCTCTTTCTTTCTTTCTTTCTCTCTCTCTTTCCTTCAAAATCCATAAAAAAGCTCCAAAATCCTTCTAAAGGTTTTCTGGTCACGGTGCCCACGGTTCCCCTGCCCCCTCTCGCGAAACTTTCCAAAGTATGAGCTTTTGCTTTGCGTGCCCACTGTTTCTCTTTCTTTCCTTCTCTCTTTCTCTCTCATTCAAAATCCATAAAGAAGCCCCAAAACCCTCCTCCTAAATGGTTTTCCGGTCACCGTGCCCCACGGACCCCCCACCTTCTCTCGCGAAACTTTCCAAAGTATGAGCTTTCGGTTTGCACGGTGCCCACTCTTTCTCCCTTCCTCTCCCTCTCTCATTCAGGACAATCCATATTAGAGCCCTAAAACTCTATCTTTTGAACGGTTTCTTGGCTAGGGTGCCCACTTTTCCCCTTCACCTGCAGTATGAGCTGTTGGCCTACACAGTGCCCACTCCCCCCCTTTCTCTCGCCCATTCCATGTAAAAACCCCAAAATTTTCACTTATAAACGGTTCTCTGGCCAGGGTGCCCAAGATTCCCTCCAAAACTTGAAGTATGAACAATTGGTTTGCACGGTGCCCGTTCTTTCCCTCTTCCTCTTTCTCTCTTTCAGGATCCATACTGAAGCCCTGAAACTCCCTCTCCTAAACGGTTTCTTGGCGGGTGCCCATTTTTCTCCTCCACTTGAAGTATGAGCTGTTGGTCCGCACAGTGCTCATTCTTCCTCTCTCCATCAACGCATTCGTCACATGTGGAAGTCTCAAACTTCCCTTCTAAACTGTTTTCCGGCCAAAGTGACCACGCTTCCCCCTTCAAAATTGTAGTATGAGCTTTCGGTTTGCACGGTGCCCACCCTTCTCTCCCTCTTTCGCATTCATGCTCCCATGTGAAAGCAAACATTTTCTCTCCTAAACGTTTTTCTAATTATGTGACCACTCTTTCTCCTTCTCTCCAACATTAATGATCCCATGTTGGATTCTCAAAGTTCTCTTTCCGAAGGTTTTCTGATGGGTGCTCAAGATTCCCTTCTCCGAAATTCAGCGTAAGAGCTCAATCATCGATGCACATTCCTTCTCCCAGATCAAACCAGGAGTTTTGGTGATTGTATGGATATTGATGCTGGCAAACGTTAAGGCATGGATACGTCTCCATAGAGTTCACGCAAGCGCGAGATTACGTGCATCCCTAAAAATGTTATGCAAGCTCTTTACACTATCGCTATAGTATTTTTTTATACAGTGCTGGACATAATTATACAGCCACTCTAGAAATCGTCGTAATTTTTGTTCTTGTCAATGAATCTGTCTGAAACTTTGCTGTATTGTGCGCGTCAACCTATATCAACCTACCAACGTCAACCCATACCCGTATGTCAACCTACCATAACCCCTCAAAACGGCTTCCAGTCTTGTTGAGTTTGAACGGAGAAAAACGAAAAAAATCGAAAAAGCCCTCTTTGAAAGCTGGACAAAATTGTACTGCCACCTGGTGTTTCTAATCACTATCGCATTCGTTGACTCTCAAATTTTTTTGTACAATTACATCCCAAAAAATGAAACATTTGCGACATTTACGGCCTGTCTTCCTACTCAAATAGAAGCAATTACTGCTCTTGCTTTTAAAAGCATTAAAACTCAATCTCCTTCAACAAACAACTTCTTTAAAGAGTTTTCAAGCTCTTGTTCATTCCAAATGATAATCATGGAATCTACTGACCCTTCTGGATAGATGAGGTGAAGAGCGCTTTCGTAAACTCTGCGTATCCGCTGATTTTGACGAACAGACTCCAACCTCACCATAGGGTTGACGCACTTTTGCACCACGAAACTCGATTTTCAAGCGACAGAAGATACTGTAATGTAGCCATTACGACAGCCATACAACAGTGAACTCGTGTGCACTGGGAAGAAATTTCGGGACTGAGCACTCTGATTCAGCCGCAGTTGACATTCACTGAATGTTGAGTGGAACACCCTGTACAATCAAAGCCAACTCAGATCACGAGATAAAACCGTAGACGCTTGAAACTTCAAAATCTTAGCTAATCTCATTCATCGGGTAAAATATGACATGAAACACAGACGGAAATAAGGAGATCTAGGGTTATATCGAATCTTCCGCTCGCAGGGAATTTTTGTGGAAAGTATTCCAGGTTTAAATCGCTACCGCATCATTAGGAAAAATCTGAAACTTGTTGCAAAAGCTGTATCCCCATGTAGACAATGTGATAAATCAAGTTCAGCACTTTGTGGACAGTGCAAACTGAGTTTTGTGGTGCAAAAGTGCGTCAACCCTATGGTGATGCTGGAGTCTGTCCGTCAAAATCAGCGATTACGCAAAATTTACGAAAGTGCTCTTCACCTTATCTATCCAGAAGGGTCAGTAGATTCCATGATTATCATTTGGAATAAACAAGAGCTTGAAAACTCTTTAAAGAAGTTGTTTGTTGAGGGAGACTGACTTTTAATGCTTTTAAAAGCAAGAAATGCAACGATTGCTTCTACTTGAGTAGGAAGACAGGCCGTAAATGTCGCAAATGTTTCATATTTTGGGATGTAATTGTACAAAAAAATTTGAGAGTCAACGAATGCGATAGTGATTAGAAAAACCAGGTGGCTGTATAATTTTGTCCAGCTTTCAAAGAGGGCTTTTTCGATTTTTTTCGTTTTTCTCCGTTCAAACTCAACAAGACTGGAAGCCGTTTTGAGGGGTTATGGTAGGTTGACATACGGGTATGGGTTGACGTTGGTAGGTTGATATAGGTTGAAGCGCACAATACAGCAAAGTTTCAGACAGATTCATTGACAAGAACAAAAATTACGACGATTTCTAGAGTGGCTGTATAATTATGTCCAGCACTGTACAGTGCTGGACAAAATTATAGGTCCACTTTGAAAAAAGTTATAACTCACTCTGTCGTTAATAAAATGTTCCAAAATTTGGTACAGTCGTGTGTTTACCAGTCTTTTATCACTCACCAAATGAAACTCGTTTTCGTTTGGTTATTCAAGAAAAATTCAAACTTTTGAAAAAAGCAGGCTTAAAGGTTGGACAGAATTATAGGTCCACCTAGAGTTTTCGCTAATTGAAGCACTTCGAATTTTTTTGGTAGTCACACATTCAAAAGTATCAAACAGTTGCTGTGGTCAAGTTGTGTCATACCTCCAATAGAACGGATTATCTGCTTTTTTGCCTTGAAAATGGTTTTACATGTATTTCGCTCCAGAAACTTGCGTTGAGCAAGAAATTCTGCATTCTTTCAGTTAGATTGGAAGCGTCGTGGTTTCGTCTACCTTCTGTATGCTTCTTGACGTGAGATCGAGGAAAAATGCGACTTTTTGCTGCTGGAGCAAATCCAACATCTATTTAATCGGAAGCGTAAGTCTCAGTTTCTGCTATAAAATCCTTTAGGCCCCGGACAGAATTTACGCGATTTGATCGTCGCGACTAAATCGCGACGAGACAACTGTTACGACATCATTCCGTGCCGATCAACTTGCATTTCGGTCGTGATACTTTTCCAGCCCGAAATTTTTAAGAGGGAAATGAAAATGAATGGAAATCTCGGCGACTGAATCGCGACGATCAAATCGCGTGAAGTCTGTCCGGGGCCTTAAGCATTATCATTATAACCTCAAGATATTGTAGAAGCATTCTTTACACAAAAATAAAACTATTGCCATACTCGCAAGTGTTCACAAAAGCCCCTTGCATCCATTTCGAAACATGAGTTGTGCAGCGTAATGATGCTGTTACTCACATCCATAACAGCTTGCCAAGTGCTACCCCACTATTTTTGACCGTAATTTATCTACTAGGTAGTGGATACACTTGTATTGTATGTTAACACAATTCTCTTGAAAATTTTGGTCGGAGCCACAATTAGCCTTGGTGCTTGTCGTAATCGGTTCCTGTAGGGTAATTTCAGTAATTATACTCGAATGCTGGGATCTCTAGAAAGTTTCAACTATGGAATACAAATTTCTCTTTGTATAAACAATGCTTTCACTTCACTTGATGCTTCTGAGGACATTGTAAAAGAATCTGAAGGTAGGAATTTGAGCTCAGGATTGCAGTACTGCCAATGTTGGATTTGCTTCAGCAGCAGAAAGCCAGATCTTTTCCTCAATGCTCACGTCAAAAAGCATGCAGATGGTAATTGAAACCCCGTCGCTCCCGATCTAGCTGAAGAACTGCAGATTTTCTTACCCAACGCAGGTTTCTGGAGCGAAATACATGTGAAAGCATTTTCCAGTCAAGAAAGCAGCTGATCGGTTCTTTGGAGGTATGACACAGCTTAACTATAGCCGTTTAATACTTTTGAATGTGGAACTGCCTGAAAAATTCGGAAGCTAGGAAGTGCTCCAATTAGCAAAAACTCCAGGTGGACCTATAATTTTGTCCAGCCTTCAAGCCTACTTTTTCAAAATATTGAATTTTTTCTTGAGTAACCAAACGAAAACGAGACCCAATTTGATGACTGATAGTAGACCGGTAAACACGGCTGTACCAAATTTTGGAACATTTTATTGACAACAGAGTGAGTTATGGCATTTTTTAGAATGGACCTATAATTTTGTCCAGCACTGTAGTCCAGCCTGAACTGGGCTTGGGATGACGTGGTGATCTTTGTTACTGCTGTGTTTTGTGTGACTAACACTTTGATCTTATGATTTGGAACTCCTTGAGGTATGAATGAATAAATGAATGAATGATTGGGCAGTTCTCTGCGAACAAAAATCCTTTGAAAAGCTGAAAGTTTATTGTCCATCAAACGACAGTTTAAGCATTCATAATAACTGCGGCAACCATGATGGATTCAATATCGCATTCGTTGGTTCCTCGGCGTATCTTGAAGAGGCCTAAAGTAGTAATTAGTTTCCTTGAAAGTGATGTTTCGGTAAGAGTTCGCAAAGGCCCAAACAAATTTACCGTTATCTCCCCAGTCAGTGTTCCAAGAGTTCGAAGCGAGCCAGTATTTCACACCATTCTCTACACCCCATCCTATGAGTCTGATAGCGTGAAGTCCATCCGGATCTCCCGATGTGTGCTGAACTCAATGATTCAAAGAAAAATCTCTGAAAGCTTTTACTTGCAGCACAAAATCATCATGTTTTCCCAAAGAGGAGTGTGTTTCACGCTGCTATTTGCTTTTGTAATTTGAAAATCGTTGATGACTTTTTTAGATTTTTGTACAATCTTTCTTCTATACACTGCTTTTACGGAGTAGGAAAATTTGCTCTTGAAACACAAAGAGTACACCTGCTTTAATCATCTTCACGTTACATATTTCGAAATTTTTGAGCCAAGCATTACCCGTTAACGAGGTAAATGCTTCCATGCTTATAAAGGTTGATTGACCTTATTAGCAAACGTTTTGGAGAAAATTTGGGTGATTCCTTTTATCGTAGATTGCGTATGTGATAGGTGCAAACTGCTCTGCCATAGGTGATGAATATACTAACAAGGAAAGGACCCTCAGTCGAAGTGGGGTTTCCACACGTGATGCATAACATTCTGCTGGTCTTGGGGCACTAATACCAGATAATCCGTGTTCCTTAGCTGCTCAATGATCTTCAGGAAAAAGTTATGAGGGACGGTTCCCACGATGACCACTGAACCTTATAAGTCTGGGGCGCCATGAAATGTACAGATGTGGACGGATGGATGGGTCGATCTGTGGAGATTAAGGCGCAGGTGATGAAGGACTGGCGTTCGCTATAGAGCCAAACTTTGAATTTTCGCAAATTTCATTTTATGAAATAGCAAGCGATTTTCAATGAGGATTCGCCCATCGGAAATCGTCCGCAAATTCACAGAATACAATTTGCAAAAATGCAAAGCTTGGCTCTATAGGGAATGTGAACTCTTTACCACCTGCGCCATAGACTGCGTAGCTATTTGCCCGCCCATCGGTCCACACCTGTACCTTCCTTGGTGCCCCAGTCTTATAGAGTGCAGTGGTCATCGTGGGAAACCGTAGCTCATAACTTTTCCCAAAAGGTTATTGAGCAGTTAAGGAACACGGATTTGTAGTGCCCCAATACCAGCAGAATGATATGCATCACGTGTGGAAACCCACTTCGACTGAGGGTCGTTCCCTTGTAAGAAAGGTTCAAATTTAGCATAACTTTATAGTGAGTACTCACTACGTATACTCCCTTCTTGTAATAGTAGAAATCCTTGTAAACGGAGAACACTGCTGTAACGGGTCCATTCGTGAAGATTTCCTTTCGAATCGCATCTTCATTCGCATAGACTCGATATGCGGAAGTTGCTATACAGCACAACAGAATTACTTTCAATGCTTTCGAGACTGTAGTGCCAATTACCGTAAATCTTGTCTCTGTTATAATCCACGTTATATCCAAACTGACATTGCGCACGGCAAATTGGCGTTTGTTGGTCTTGACTATTTGGAGGGAACGGGTATGGTTTGCAGCAATTCTGAAGAATATCGAGCAATTATTCCATCGCTTTGAGGGCATCGCACACCTTTGCATTGTATGCACCACCAGTACATACTCCATAGGTCATTCCATACTGAAAGGCTTTGATGGGCCACCCTCCAAAACATCTGTAAATTATCCATAAGCGCTTTTACTCCAATAGGAAGACTGGATTGGAATCAAGGTGTGAATATAAAAAGCTGCTGGACTCATGTTTTTCTGCTGTATTAATTCCTCTCCAAAATATCTCAGGGGCTTTCCTTAAAGACAAGTATTTTCTTGACAATAAGTAGTTTGAGAAAATTAGTTCAATCTGAAGGACCTCGCTGAGTGCAATTGTAGTAAAAGTAAGAAATCTTGGGTTTGGGCCAAATTTCGTAAACATAATCAATATCAGAGTGCAGCTTGCACGGTAACACTCTGAGGTAATAATAAGTAGTCGAGATGCAATATATTATAGGATAGGACAATATAACATTGCGCATTTATGCAAACTAAAAAGTTTCGAGAAAAAAGATAAGGGTGATTTTTCATGATTATGCTGCAAAGGCGGTTCTCTCTGAACGGGAAAAGGATTTGGTGAACGTGGCCTTTCGTAGTGTGACATATGTCATGATATCCGCCTTAAAACGCTGATCTCAAGACTGTGTTCATTATCCGCGGAAGGATTCTTCGGAACTGTATCTCTTCGCGTCTGATTTGTTTGCAATAGAATAGACATAATGTTGATAGAGGCTAGAAAGTCGAATGTTCTGACGGTTAGCATTGTGTTATTGCATAGTGGATGTCACTTGATCTCTGTCGATGCGAATTTTGCTTTCGCTTCCCCAAGCGGTACTTTTTCTCAGGTAAGCGTTCGAGTTTTTTTGAATCGAATTTTTCGAGCATAACGCTGTGGTGAGGATATAGAAGTTTGTTAATCTTAGGATGAATCAGTGAAAGAGATTGCAAAACATGGTTTTTCTAACAACGAGAATTGAGCCTCGTACAGTCCTAATAAAAAAATTCAGTTTTTCTCGTGTGTTATACTACGGAAGTAAAAATCTTCGTTTGCTGACAAGCAGGCCATTGACAAAGCCGAGCAAAATGCTGGGAAAAATTACTAACGACTCACTAAATGCACTTTACTAAAGTAAGATTCGAGAAACCTGAAAGTACAAAATAATGGTTTCAATAAGGAAGCACTTCAGGTAATAACTTGTGTACCCACTTGGAGTTGAAGAACTTCTGAAAGCATCTCATGCTTTCACTTTGTAAAACAAACTATCTACTCATGCACTCAGTTTCTGATCATTACAGACCATGTAGGTCTGTTGAAATTAGTATCGGTATATACACTTGTCCTTGATAATCGAGCGTGTAAAGACTGCTTCCTACAAGGCAAACTTAAGACTGAGCGTTTTCAACGCCTCAGACGTTACCGATGCTGTTCGATAAACAACCATTGAAACACTAGACATACCCATTACCACAAAATTGACCACAACATGCAATAATATCTGTGTCTGAGATTATCCTCTGCAATAAAAGGTGCTTTCTGTTTTATATTTTCATAAATCGACTTTGTCAAACCTGATCTTGTCCCATGCTTCGTATGCACAATCTATCAGACATGACTGAAGCTGCAGATACAGCCCAACAAGATCCTGAGTATGGGTTTATACCACCATAGCTATCATTTCGAGTACAATTTACCGCAATGTGCTTGAGCTCTGATAGTCTTTATAGAAACGCACTGGGGCCACTTTTCTCGAGCATCGAAACTGTAACGCATGTCATGAAATATTCTGTTCTATATTTTGCATAAACTCTGAAAGAGGACCACATACTTTTCTGGAAGATACTCATTCATAACAATCTCCTTTGCTGTTACAGTTCCCTCAGGTATTTCCATAAATTTAAAATCCATTAGGCTTGACTTGAACTTTTCGTACGACATCGTTGGAACTTCTGCCTGAGAAAACATTGTGTCATTTACGGCGTGAGCAGATCTTATGTAACTAAATTTGTTGTTTATCTGGTTACCTTGAAGAAATGTTGATTTGTGTTGAGATAATCAACGAGTTCTTGATCCGACATGCGGTTGGCATCTGTGACACATGTAATTTTTTCTGTTGTTTTGTTAAAGTTAAATTGCAGCTACTTCACATAAGCTTTCAGCTCAAATGACCTCGATTGTCTTGTACAAATCTAAAGTGATCAATAAGCTGTTACGCACTCACCTACAGACATGCCTGAAGCCGGTATAAAGAATACGGTTAGCAAAAACAGCATTTTGGCCATCTGGAAGCAAATATATAACATCAAAAAATGTTTTCAGCGAGACTTTTTGATAAAAGTCAGTACAAACTTACCGTGTTAGAGTATGGATGGACAGAACCACAACAGTCCACACTGCTTCTTGGTATTTATGCACTTCCTTAACTTTTTTACGACTTAAATCTTGCGATAAAGAGATTAGAGATGAAAGTAATATGGGCGTTTACCAAAAGCGAGTCAAAGACTTGCTCTCAAGGGCTTAAAATCAAATTCCTTTGGGGTCGTATCATTGTTTTGAAGAAAAGGGTGGGGAATGTGTGGCTTTACGTCAAGATCCGAGAAATTTTGTTTAGAGGAAGAATGAATGATACGTGAGAGTTGCATCACACTGTAGGCTACAGTATTAAAAGTCCTCACCATTAAGGTCAAGCTTTTATATGCGCCTGCGAATTGCTCCTTTCCGTGAGGACAGATTGGCAGCATGTTGCTGATTGAGATAAAACATGTTTCAATCGCTACGCTAACACCAAATCGTACATATTCTTCAGAAGTGCAAAACATTTCTAAAATCGTCCAGCCATATAGGCTGCGTTCACATTGAGTTTAAATGCTGTGCTGGAACTTTTTCCGAAATGCGGACCACGCAGCCATATCTTCTCCAATCAGCGTCACTTATTTAATTTCTCATGCTAATAAAATAACGCCAATGTTTCCAACTTGGATTATGTTTCATTTAGTCATCGAAGAGGTTCAAATCAAGAAACAACTTATTTTTAAAGGTTCGAGCCCCCACTTTGTTGAGCCTTGGTGTACATTTAGAATACTCTCCTTTTCTCCTGCAATTACCTGTGTATTTTCATTTTTTCAACTTCTTTGTAACTTTCTTGCGAAGAACACTAAGTGAATGCTTATTTGTTATCATTGTCTCACGGGCGTTGCCAGTGAATGGCAAAATCATGCCATTACATAAGACGATTAAAATATCCTATCTAGTTACAGTAATACAAAT